GATATTTCATCCACTAATGCCCCACATCTTTGGAAAGGGCTTCAAACTTCCGGAAGGATGAACAAAGCATTTGGATTAAGCCATCAGCCAGCAGAAAAAGCATATTTAGAAGCCTTAGCCGAAGCGTATAAAACGGCAGATAGCTGGGATACTCGGCGCCAAGTCTTATCTACCATGTCCGATGTGGCTAATTTTAATGTCATTTCAGAATATATTCCTGGTCTTACACACTACCGTTTTACTATGGCTAATCTTCATCGACTTCAGTATGGAAGGTGCGCTCCAGTTCCGTTAAAGACATCGCCTCGTCTTCGTATATGTCAGCAACAGCTTGACCATTTTCTGAGTTTTATAACAAGCCCCCATTTAGTGCAAGACTTGCCGTTTGGCGAAAAAGAATTGAAGATGTCCTCAGGTAAAACAATTAAAGTACCGAACATCATCCGTACCATGATACCTCAAAGAATTGTGAACCAATACTCTCAGTACTGCAAAGAAAACTATTTTCAATCTTTCAGTAAGAGCACAATGTTAAGAGTACTAGACGAATGTAGTGCAACCCATCGTAAATCTCTTCAAGGTCTGGACAACTTTGCTGCTCAAGGAGGGCGGTCTTTTGATGACTTGGGCACCGTTGTGCTGACTATCTCACCTTTAAAGAAAGAGGGCGAAAATTGGGCAACAGAAATGCAAGAGGCTTTGAAAGTGGGAAAGCTTTATCTAAAAGGAGATTACAAGGTAACAAATCAATTAAACAAGGCAAAATCATTAAATATGTTCTTCGTATTTATATATTTTACAAACCTGGTATGAAATTTATTAGATTAATATTAATATTATATCTCAATGTAATTTTTCCTGAATGCAGTAGGCACTTTACAGTACAGTACAGTAGAGTACATTGTCGGGCATTTGTTTTATGTGCCATGTTTCAGTTCTCATTTTTGCGTTCTATTTTAAGGTGCACGTCAGTGACAACGCTCGTGTCCCTGACCATTGCTATATGTACGCGTTAAGCGACATCACAGATAAAGATTTCAAATACAAGTGCAAACATAAACATGACGAAAGGTGCAAGCAGTGTGAAAGTCTTGACTTCGCTAAAGAACATAGAACAAGCAATCGACGAGTGCACTTTTTCCTCGGAGGAAGAAAGAGACGAAACCCTGTATCTATTCACATCTGCAGTGAGAGCCATCAACTTGTGGAAAGGCCATCAACTTCGGAGCGTTCGACAAGACCAAGCCAGACTAGACGTGATTAATCTCCTAAAAGACGAGAAGACAGTGTACATAGTGAATGACTGGGCAATGAAGTTCCTTCCCCGTCAATACCGCGAGTCACAATCAGATTGGTTCGGAAAAAGGGAATCTCCTGGCACATCTCTGTCGTTTTTCGAAAATCGAATGGCCAATTAGAGTCTCAAGGCTTCATTCATATCATTGAATCTTGTAGCCAGGACAGTGCTGCCATTGTGTTAATCATGCAGCATGTCCTAAAGACCTTGGAAACCGAGAATCCGAAATTGAAGAGAGCATTTTTCCGCCAAGACAATGCCGGATGTTATCACTCAGCCAGCACAATTCTTGCATGCCATCACATCGCCAAGACAACAGGAATAAAGATTTCAAGGATTGATTTCAGCGATCCCCAAGGGGAAAGGGTCAGCTGACCGTCTTGCCGCTACTTGCAAGTGCCATATCAGATTGTTTGTAAACGAGGGTAACGACGTTACAAATGCTGAAGAAATGAAAAATGCCCTGTTATCACATGGTGGTGTCGAGGGAGTAAGAGTGGCTGTAGTACCGTGCATCGATGATTCTTTCGTCGCTCAGCTAGAAAAAATCCCTGGAATAAGTAAACTGAACAACTTTGAGTTCAAAGGAAGAAATATTGTTACATGGCGAGCTTATGATGTTGGAAAAGGAAAAAGAATAAGTTTATCGAAGATCCAAGGTAACCGTGTATGCTTTTTTAACACATTCCCTGGGGTAATGGGTGTGGCAATAGACATGGTGGATACTAAAAAGTATGGGCGAAAAAGTTAGTTTGGGCAAATGTCAAGGTATCATCCGACAAAAATCTATTAAAGCCACTACAATTATCTTTAATTTCGCATTAGTCGTACGACAAATTGCCGTATAAAGTGAATGCCTTTCATAGAGGGAGAAAATTGTATTATGCAGCCACCGTTAATTTTTAGGGCACCAAAGTCAGAACACATCTGTTCGTAGAGTAATTATATTCTATCTTATTGTTGTAGATATAACCTTTAATTGGATCACTGTCGGGTTTTCATCTGGAAATTTTAAACTCGTTAAATCAACAGCCGAAAACACAAAGCGAAAACAGCAACCTGCGACTACTGAATTCGAAAAGGCCGTACAAGAAGAGGAGGCAGAAGATAGTGAATCACCAATCTACTCTTGTCCTCAAGAAGGATGCACTCGTGTTTTCCAGAGATCTTCTGCACTAGAAAAACATCTTTCTTTGGAATCCTGCACCAGCATTCTTGAAAAGCAGACCATGTTGGATGTTGCAAAAGAAAAATATGCATCCCTTTTAAAGGAAGATGTTTGTGCGATTCCATCCATAAGCACTTCTTGCAGCACTGTCGTTGCCGATTCCTATCCTGTTGCCCAGGAGGGGTGGGCACTTAAAGAATCGACAAAAAGTTATCGTTTCAACGAAAAGCAAAAAAGCTACCTAACCTCTAAGTTCAACATCGGCCAAGAGACAGGACGGAAAATGAAAGCGGACGTTGTATCGAAAGAAATGAGGCATGCGCGCGGGGATGGTCACCGGCTATTCGGTGTCACGGAGTTTCTTTCTGTTGAACAAGTTTCCTCATTCTTTTCTCGCATGGCTGCCAAGGTCCGACGCAAAAGATCACTATAACGGAAGCAGATGCTGTGGCTGCTGTAGAAGAGGATAATTTTCATGAAATGAGAAACAAAGTTTTGTCATCGTTACAACTACAACACCCTATCGTTTTTGATCAATATAATGTATGTGATATGGTGAAAAGTAGTACTCTGAAAAAATTGAAGATGGATATGCTTCAACGCCTATGCGAAGAACTTAACCTCGATGTTCCAGAAATGTCTGGCAAGAAGAAGAGCACAAAATTACCTTACATCAAGCTCCTAGAAAGTGCTGTTTCAGGATGCTCCTGTAACACTGGCTGACTGCTACAAATAAACGAAAACTGTACTGTACATTTCTATAGACTATACCCTTAACCAGTAAGTCACAAATTTAGTTATATTTGCCAAAAACTTGACGAATCAAGTTAGCGCTCCAAACAATGATATAGTTTCAACGTACGATGTCTTAAAGCAAAATAGCGTCGCATTAGTAAAATTTAAATGCAAAAGAGTTTTATTGTTTAGGGAACACTCATACCGAGGGGGTATGAAGATGTTAAGGGGGCACCAAAATATTTTCAGGCATTAAGGGGAGGGGGGCTCTGAAAGTTTTCTGTATATACAGAAGGGGAATATAAATATTTCAATGTTTTGGTGAGGCGGGGCCTCATCATGATAATTTATCATGACCCTACTAAAAGGTGTGTATATGAGACTCTGAAAACGCTGTTTCTGACTAACCATGGCGTGGCGCCTGTAATGAAGTCACTAACCTAAACAAATTTCTCAACTGCCCTTCTGACTGTGGAAGAAAAGTGTGTCCTTGCCAACTACTCTTATTTTAATGCTGAGCATAAAAATACCTCAACTCCTTGGTCCTTGGGTTCTGATTTCTGGGCGGCATTTAAATTTTGAAGTATCTTTTGGAGGGGATTGTCGAAAATATTGCGATAACTCCAACAGGGCCCCGAAAAAATATACCCCTTTTTGAAGACATCTTCATCCCCCCAGCATAGTAAATAAACAAATTAAAACTGGTTGCTAAATTAAAATTGGTTTTGCGAATTGCCAATTTTAGTTTCGTTGAAAAAATTATAGATTGACTGGTTTAATGTGACGCATTTGTACTAGCTGGCCTCTATTATCGACTGATTTCAGATAAAATACTCCCTTGCATGAACTTAAAAAACGCATTCATCACTCAGATCTCTAATGTACTCTTTTAAAGTTTGTCTTAAAAATTAATAGCGTTGTTTTCGTTATTCCGCGTTCTTTTGTTAATGAAATGCGACAAAACTGTCACTGTAATTACCGTTGTAATGTACAAACGTGTTGTCAGGCAAAATCTAAAAATAGCATCAACATTTTGACTTCTCACTGGTGCGGGTTTTGCTTGCCGCCAGAGATTTTTTAATATGTTATAAACAGATGGCTACTTTGCAAGTTAGTCTTATTTTCGTTGTAATTTGTCATGTACCACGGTCCAGTTGAACACATTGAAATATACAAAAATATGCCTTTCTGTTGTGAACCGTAAACACCATATATTAGCTAGCTTTAAATGTCAAGAAAGATTTTGGAATAAAAAAAGATTTTGCTGCTAAGATAAAATATAGAGATGGTCTTAGATTATACTAAAAAATGGTCGTAATATGTTTGAAGGTTAGCCGTCACAAACTCTTTAAAATCCTGTATTTTGACTGATGAAAATTGACTTAAAAGTCCCAAAATCATGTTTAGGTAATTTCACGAAAAATAAGAGGAGCTGCGACTTTTGAACTATATTTTTCAAAATAGCTCACTCAGTGGATACTATGGGTAAAATAAAAGGAATTTCGAATTTTCCAATTTGTCGCCCAGTTCTCGAGATTTACGGACACTCACTCTTAAAGTATTTATCACTTAAAATGTTCTTCCAAAGTTGTTTGACGGGAGGAGCAAATAGGCGACTGAGCAAAGCACCACTAAGCACTTGGTCTTTGGTTAAACATGGTTTTCTTAAACGGCATGTACTAAAACCCGAAACGTCAAAACGAAACGATCGAAACGAAACGACCGAAACCAACGAAACAACCGGAACGAAACGACCGAAACCAACGAAACGACCGAAACATATAATAATTTTTTTTAATTATGTGTCTTTAATATCTAAATTATAAAATATAAAACTTCTTCAGATGAAACTGTCAACTGAAATTGGATAATGTTAATGTAGTGAGATATATTACATATTAGACCTTTAGTTTACCAAAACTACATTGTTAGGGGCCTGCCAGGAATTAGCAAGGGGAGGTAAGGGGAGGCAACCTAAGGGGAAAACAGGTTGAGCCTTAAAGGGAAGGGTCATGAATAAAATGGACAGAGGTGAGGGTCACAAAAATTTGATATCATCATAGTGTAAGAGAGTTTTAAAGGACAGGACCATGAATGAGAACAAAGATATTATCACAAAAGTATTAATTAACAAGCAAAAATGTAAAACATCATTCTATGATTTTGATGCATACAGTACGGCAATTCTGTATGTCCACTACTTTGCAACAGACGACTGCCCTTTAAGAATTCGTAGCACTTTAATGCATCATGTTGGTAGTATCACTGACATTCAGATAGCCTCGAATGACAATATTGAATGTTTTTGTAAAGATTGTGCTGTTGGTCATCGCATATACACCTGGCCTTACTTTCTCAAATGCTGTTGCACAGGTCGGCGAAAAAATAAGGTGGCTTGACTATCAATGATACTACAATAACCATGATGCAAAGCGCTACTAATTCTTAATAAGGGAAATCATCTAGCTGCTGCCACCATCTTGGTTGACTTTTCAAAACATGTGCACAAATAATATTTGCCATTGTTGCTGTACTTTGGACAGGCACTTTCAATTTATTGACAAACAAAGAAAAAGTAAATCAACTCTGTTTTCTTTAATAGCTGATGTAAATTTTGTAGAATCAACCAAGATGACACCTGACATTATGAATTAATTTGATACCAACCATTGCATTGATTAAATTCTAATAACCTACGCACAAGTCTCCAAATTGGTATAGTCGTTTATCGAATAAGAACTAACTTTAACTCAAATCGAACAAATGTGAATTGAAGTTGTCAAATATTTGTATGCCTCTGAATGTGAGTAGACAATTCCTAGCTGTTACATATATGGTTCATAGTGGTGACTGCAATGCCATAAACAGTATTTAAATTAGCAACATTATGCCAAATTCCTTCCTTATCCAGTCCTGGTGAAAAGTATTCATTTTAGGCTGCAGCAAGGCAGGAACCTTTAAGGCAGAAGGCAAAAACTCTGGATGTTTCCTTTCAACACATGACCGTTTTAAATGATAATGACAGTTCTGAGGTACGTTGGATACTTTTAACGAACCATGTGGTGCCCTGTGTGATATATATATATTGAATATTTAATTAGGTGTAAGGTATAAATATGCATGCGTAATTAGCAGCAGTTGTTGGCTTGCCGGATGATGCTGTAAGATAGAGTAAAACAGAGAATAAAACATTTTTATGAAGACTAGATCAATCCGTATCAATCCGTATCAAGGACAAGGCATATACACTACACCCTGTAGGACCTGAACTCTTTCTTCACTATACATACATCATGGGGAGGTGCTGGAACAGCTGGTGGGATCCGAACGGCTTGGCCACAACCATAGCACATCCTTACTTGTGTGCCTTCCAAATGCTTTAGACCAAAAGTATCGTCGTCATGGTGCAACCGAGTGGCATTTGAAAGCGATAAAAGAGCAGAAACTGCAAGTGATTCATTATGGACAGATTTTGTTTGTTGCTGTGTTGATGGGTCAGGTTGAATTTCCATCAATGGAACCCTCTTTTCGTTGGATTTTCCTTTTCTTTTGGTTGAACTTGGTTTCTTTCCAGATGACTTTGGCAAATTCCCCTCTACTAATGCATATGGATCGGGTTCCTTTCTATTCTTACAGACCACAGCTAAAAACTCTCGTAAACAAAATTCGTCTTCAGCAACTGCTAAAGAGTGGGAGCAAATCTTTGCCGACTTGAACTTTGGACAGGAACAATGTATTATTCCAGCATCCTTTACCTGCACTGGGCATGGAGGGCAATTTTCACCATCGAACACCAGTCGCTGGGTTCCCGACTTGTCCCATGGAACATGAAACACACCCTGGACTTGGCTCAGTATCAGCGAAGCAGAAGACCAGATTTTTCTCAGATTTGTGCGGGACAAAGTCGAAATGGAGCATTCGTCATAACCAATCGATAATTTACCACGAGTATCTTCGGACAGAACTGAATGAACAATAGCATCATCTGCTTTACCGATGGTATCTAGATCCGCAACAAAACACCGTTTCATGTGCGTGTTGCGTTGCGCGGCACTCATTTCAACCCACTGATTCAGTTTTTTCGCTAAGTGTTGAAAATCTTTGCTTAGACGATATTCACCCATGCCGTAGACAGCCTTTTGTAATTCTTCTTGTTGACTTTTGGCCGTATCTTCGAGAGAAAGACAGAAATGCGACCACTCTTTCTTCCCTCCAGCATTTCTTTTTACCACGCTGTTGACGCATTCTGATGCATTTTGGGTGTAGAATTCGGGAGGGGATCCGAGACCAGCACTTTGTCGGACACGTGCAATAACATTTTCTTTCATCACCGTAGCAAGATGATCTTTGAAACAGGCAAAGAATTCAGGATTCCCTGGATGTTGGCTGATCTCCACTTCCTTACACTTGGGTTCAAGGTCTTCCAGCATTTTGTCAAACTCTTCTGGTGTTTTTGCATCAGCAAGTGCCATAACGAACTTGTCATCGGTCCGCTGTCCAAAAATAGTGTTGACAATCTTTCGTTGAGCATTTTTATCAAACGACAAGGATACAAGCTTTCTCTCTATGTTATCTGAAAGGTGAATCTTACATCGAAGATGGATAGCATGCGGCAGTTTGCAAACAAACGCGTTTGCAATGTTAATTTCACCGTCTGATCCAAACGCTGTTAGTGATTCAAACTTTTCACAACGAATCTTAAGCTGACTAGCGAGGAAGTGGTAGTCTTCGAATTCTTTGGTCATATGCAGTATGGATGGACCAACAATAACTTGATGTGTCCCTGATTGCTTGTGGACAAACATCTTGTGCTGAAAAGATGTTAAAGTAACGAAAAAATTGTCTAAGTTGAAAGTCTGTAGCTTGGAAAGATCGGGGTTGCGTCTTGCTTGATTCTGACTTTGCCATGGAAAAATCTCCCACGAAAGTTCCTTCGTTGACAAGTTCTAACAAGTCATAAAATTCATGGCGCTGTGCTGTCTTGACATTCGACCTTCCCGCGGCAACTTTTTGGTTAAGGTTGTAGGCTTGCTTGCGATCTCGCGGCACATCAGCTAGTGAGGACACGCACTAAAATACTTCTTCCACACGCGCTAAAATAATTCTTTTCAAACCTGGTAAAACCTGCTTCAACTGAGTTTCCAAACAAGTGGAAGCTGTGACTGTTCAGTGCTGTGCATTCACAGATATATTTTATAAATAAACCTTAAAGGGAAATGGCAACATATTTTTTTTTAGATTGAATTATTAGATTACCTCTTAGTATGAAAGAAAATAGCGAAATCTCCATAACTGTGTCGTTCAATACTCCGAAATAGGCAATTGTTGAAATAAAATTTCAAGGTCATCGTCGCCATCTTGTTATTTTTTTTTATGCTAATTTATGCAAGTTCCCTACGGCGTGACGTCACAACAGGGCTTGCTTTTTGCGGCAAATTACGAATTCTGCTGTCTTTGTGTTGTTTTCGCGATGTATTGTCCAGTTTACGGCTGTAATAGCAGTAGTAAAAGAAATCCCGAGAAAAAAATACACTTTTTTTCGTTTCCTAAAATAATCAACGAAACCGAGAAAAAAAGAAACAAGATATGGGTCGATTTTTGCAAGCGAAAATGCTTCGTGCCATCTCAGTATTCGGGTTTGTGTTCGCTGCATTTCAGCGAAGATGCTTACGTTCCTTCGCATTCTCCTCAGTTTTTAACGACATTAAATTTTCAAGAAAGGCGAAAACTATTGCTCAAACCTGACGCAGTACCCACGAAAAATAAGCCGCTTGATATGGTTCGTAATGACTGCAGACAATCGAAGAGGAGACAAACAGGAGTTCTAGCACGGCGAAAAGTGAGTACAGTAAAATGTTATGTGGTGGTGATAATATAATGGGTTATGATTTTTGAAGAACATTAACGTAAGGAAGACGCAGATTTAACACTCCACAGTTAAAACGTTACAAATTTATACAGGTTTTGAACATTCTTCTTTCGTAGGAAGTTCAAGAGTTGATTACAAAATCCAAATTACCGCCTAATGAAAACGAAATCGTCAACGACGACAACACGATCGGTACTGTTACTGAACAATCAGATGAATCAGAAACTTTAAATGCTGATTGTAGCAACATCAGGACTACAAGTTGCCAAACCATCGCAGTGGAATATTTTAGAAAGAGTGAAGCTACTCAGACAAAGAAGTCTATGTTATCAACAGCAACAAAAGGTACACAGACACTACTTACTGTTAATTCGTTGTCAAATCTACTAGTGCAATTTCCTAAAAAAGCTTCAACTGGTTCTCAAACTGAGCCACCTGACAATGGTATTGAAGAATGTAGTGTCACAATTAATGAGTGTCAAACAAGTCAACATGTTGATTCCTCGAAAACAAGTGAATCTTGCACAGCACACGCTGAGATCCCTGAACCACCACCAGAAGAACCGGGCGAATTCGATTGTGATGAAAGTTCGGACGAGACTTACTGTCCGGAATTTGACAACTTATCGGATGAAGAAAGTCGAATTGAAAAAGAATTCACGAAAGAAGAATCAGAACAAAATGAAAAACGTATTCTTTTGTCCAACGAGAAGCCTATTGAGAATCAGCTAAAGATAATTATTTGTGAAGAGTCGTTAACGCAAATCTTTGGGATTTGCCAAAAATGTGGAAGCAGCTGCTCAGTTTCAATAGGAAACATACTCGGAAGTTATTGCGTGATCTATATATCGTGTTCGTTAAACCAAAACCATGACTTTTCTTGGTCAACTGGTCCTTTAATAAATCGACTTCCTTCTCTAAACATACTGATAACGTCAACAATTTTAGCCACGGGGATGGAATCGAATAAAATGTTGAGGTTTATGGAATCTTTAAACATTCTCTGTATTAAAAGAAGGGAAATGTCACACCTTTAAAGTTCATACGCAATACCAGCAATATTTAACTTATGGAGATCAGAGCAGCAGATGTTGATTGATGGACTCAAGAACAAACAAGTCATTATAGCTTCTGACATGCGGGTGGACAGTCCTGGCCACAGTGGCCTTCTTGGTTCTGGAAGTACTCTTGACGTAGAGCAAAACGTTATTTTAGATACTCAAGTTATAAAGGTAATTGGGAGGTTTAGCTACAATGTATAATAGATACTCTAACTCTCCATAGTCCAAATCAACAAAAGCCATGGTGGCTATTTTAGTGTTCCCAACGAGAGTAATTAATTTTCTAAAATTGAAATACTGGCATGGTAGATGTGACGCCATCTGCAAACGCTCTATTGCATTTGTGGTTAAAACTGATATATTGATATATATTTTAGAGTACTGAAGTCAAAAACTCCAATGCGATGGAGTTAGAGTCCCTGAAAAGGCAACTTTTGTACCTTGAGAGTGCTGACATAAAAGTTAAAAAACTTGTGACAGACAGGCACGTGCAAGTATCAGCGTATATGGCAAATGAAAAGCCAACTATAGAGCACAACTACGATGTGTGGCATGTTGCAAAGAGTAAGAAGCCTAATTGCCAAATAATTTGATCAGAGCTCCATACGAAAAAACATAATTTAACGATAAAAAAAAGGATTAACTTTTCCTAGTAAGAACTTATATTTATATATAACTTAGGTGTGAAGAAAAAGCTTTTGAAAGCCTCAAAGGCAAAGAAATTCAAGGCAATAAAGCCATGGATTGGGGTAGGCAACATGAGATCAGCATAAAATTTAGTAATAATCTCAATTAGGAAGGACTGTATGCTACTAAACATAAAGGTCACACGCAGACAGTCCTTGAAATTTGCGACAGCATGAAGCAATTGCCGTTGTGATAGTTTCACGACGGCACTTTATTCTTTAAGCTCGAAAGCTCTTGTAGGATGGCAATACTCACTTTAAACGCATGACGGTCTATTTAGGAGCAGAAATAACATGGGCTACAACCGCTCAAACTATATAGAATAGGTATACAGAAAGAATTGGTTTGTGAAATAAACATTTGCCGCAGACCGGTACGACCATATTATTGTGTCCAAAGCAACACTATATAACAGCTGTGCCGGTGAGAAAGCGTTACATGATAATGCGTACATGAACTCGTACCCCAACAAAGATTGATTTTTCAAATTGTTCGACCTGTTGAAAAGCAAGCTTTTTTGCTGCCGTGGCGAATTTTGAATTTTCTGCAAAAATGTCTTCGTAATAAACAATAAATGTTTGATAGGCACACTTGATCCGGCAGGTTTTTAAGTTACCCATATCTTGTTGTTTTGCAGTCAAGTTTTAGTGCGATAAGAATCATCATCTAACAAATATCGGTCAAATATGAAAATTCAAAAACTTTTTCAGTCAATTTGTAACCATCTTTACTGGGTGGCAATTTCAACCACAAACGAAAATGAAAGAGAAGAAAAATGGAGAAGTCTTCTAAATCACATCACAGACGTGCATGTTCACGGGGAAAATAAGATCTTCCAGAGATGTACCCATGGAGAGTTGGATAGAGCATGGATTAAAACAGGTTACCTAGTTTTTCCAAACTTTATATAGTAATTTCTTGAAAGTCTATAATACACACTATTTACTATTCTATACAGGGTCAGCTGCACACAAGAAACTCGAGGAAATCCTTACACAATCACGACTAATTTCTGCTGTTCGGAAACTATCAAATCTTCACCAGACTTCATCCCTTGAGTCCAAGCATTCTATAGACAACCAGTTTGCCTCTAAAAATGTCTACTATCCATTCCATTCACTTATGGCGAGGTACGTATTTGCAATTTTGGAATGCAGGTAGAAAACTGTGACCAAAATGTGAGTGCATGTTACTTGTTTGCCTATTGAGAACTAAGTGAAATCAAAACCAATTTAGTTCTAATTATCCTATTATTATAGCTTTTGTAAGGTAATTAAAGGAACACAGGACAAGTTGGCAGAAATAGATCCAGAGCAGTTTGGTATGGGAGGGGGGTGCACACTAGATACCCAGATTAGCACCCCTCCTGCAGCCTGTTTGGCCTAGACTAGAGTTTGTACCCAATGCCCGCACTACTCCCCACGCAAATCCATCACTGCCAGTTGGTATTCAAAGCATAGGAAATGTTAAGAAAGGATCGAATTTTAAATGTCTAAAGACCCTTTTCTTAGTTATGTCACAAATGTATGTTTAAAAGCCAAGAAACCCCCATTCTTATGTTTTAAGGTGATTGGCTGATAATTCATGAAACCATACTGTAGCCCCAAGGTATAACATATCAAAATATTTCAGGCTGTTTTGCTCTAACATGCATTTTAATGAGAACTCCAAGAAAAGCCAAGCCAAAACCAAGAAAGGTTTAGATCGTTGGGCAATAACATACCCAAAAGCACACAAGGGGGAAAAGGCTATTGCTAAGAAGATAAAAGAAGCCCCAACTTTTAGTAAGTTGATTAACAAGATCGAATGACTATATAACTAGCCCATTATGTGCAGAGCTCTCCTAGTGACAAGTAATATTGTCTAGCATTTGTCAAGTAGGGCACACCGGGATGTTTTGCAGAGTAAGTGTAATTTCACAAACTACATGTATATTCACAAATTAAAAGTTACAAGTATGTTTTTAGTGCTTTGAAATCACAAAATGTTCATTCAAATAGGCATAGTCTACCTCATATATTACTTTTTTACTTAATCCAGGCAATATAACTAATATTAAACAATAAATGTCTTAACGAAGTCTAACCCTAACAAATCAAATATATTAAATTTTTCTAATTTTAGGTTATGTAAAGCACACTCAGTCTGAAAGCTTAAAGCTACGACATAAGTTCCCAACGATAAAAAAGGCACAGCTTAATGCTATCAATGTCCTACCT